GTCTCTCCCCCTTCTCATTCCCTTTCTCTTCATCTTTTGAGTTCTTCTTCCTTCTCCCTTGTCCTTTCTCCTTTCTCTTCCCTTTTTCCCTTCTTCTTTCCCATCTCCTTTTCTCCACACCTTTCCCCTCATCCTCTTTTCATTCCTCTTCTTTGTTTCTTCTCTCCACCAATTTTTCGTTCCCCATTGCTCTCCCATTTCCCCTTCCATCCTCTTTCCTTTCCGTTCTCTCCCTTCCCTCCTCTCTTCCTTTCCGTTCTCCCTCCCCTCTCCCTTTCCCTCCCTTCCCCTCCTCTCTACCTTTCCCTTTCCCTCCCTCCCCTCCCCTTCTCTCTCCTTCCCCCCCCCCTTCCCTTCCCCTCCTCTCCTCCATTCCCTTTCCCTCCCTCCCTCCCTCCCCCCTTCCCCTTCCTCACTTCCCTCCCATCTCCCTTTTCCCCCCTTCCCTTTCCCTCCCTCTCCCTTCCCCTCTTCCCCTTCCCCCTTCCTCACTTTCCCTCCCATCTCCCTTTTCCCTCCTTCCCTTCCCCTCCCTTCTCCCTTCCCCCTTCCCCTCCCTTCTCCCTTCTCCCTTCCCCCTTCCCCCTTCCCCTTTCTCCCTCCCCCTCCCCCGCGAGCCGAACGAGGGCGCCCGACCGAGCCGCCGTCTCCTTCCAGCGGCGTCCGAGGAGGCTTTCAGTAGCGGCCTCGGCTCGACCCCGCTCCGCCATGCATTACACATCACCGCCAATTACCTTGAGAAATGTAATTCACCCCAATAATATTTGCATATAAATTGTTTAATTATCTACCATATGGAGGCAAGATGTATGTAGCATGAGTGCTGATTATTCTGCAATTATTTTAATTAAAGCATGATATCAAGAGGTCCTACTTGTCACTGTCTTTTGGGGCTAATGTAGTTTCGCCTTTCGCTGGGCGCGGGCGGGCGGGCGGGCGGGCGGGCGTCGGGATGGCGTCGGGGGCGGTGAGAGTGAGGACAGGGGGGGGGGGGGGTGAGGATGGTGAGGATAAGGATGATGGTGATGGTGAGGAGGAGGATGATGTGGATGACGATGGTGACGAGTGTGATGATGGTGAGGATAAGGATGAGTATGAGTGTGATGATGATAATGATAATGACGATGATGATGATGAAGATGATGATAATAATGATGATACTAATAAAAAAAAGAGACTGGTGAGGTTGCAGATGATGATAATGGTGATGATGATGACAGGTTTGATAACATGACAGCTAGGATGATGACAATGATGGTGAGGGTGATCAATAATCCTCGAAGAACTGATAGTGAATAAGGAGTATCCAGACTGGTTGTGACAGTGATTATTATGATGATCGTAATGTGATGGACATATGACGAATGATTACATAATCAGTTGGGATGCACGTGATAACAATGATAACAGGAAGACAAGTGAATGCAGGACCTTGCTCTAGCTAATGAAGACTAAGCTAATAGAGGGAGACACTCGACTCCGCGTCATGTTAACTAACGGTAAGTTGCAGATGCTGTAGGCATATATACAGTGAACGGGGCCTAAAACACTTCTTTCTCGGCTAAACCCATCTCACTCTCTCTCTCTGTTTCTTTATTTTTTAATGGTTCTTTTTGTTTGTTTGTCTGTAACTGTGTCTGTTTCTATTTTTCTCTCTTTGTCTCTGTTTCTGTCTGTTTCTGTCTCTCTCTCTCTCTCTCTCCTCTTCTCTTCTCTTCTCATCTCTTCTCTCCTCTGCTCTCCTCTCCTCTCCTCTTTCCTCTCCTCTCCTACTTCTATTCTCTTCTCTTCTCGCTCTCGCTCCCTTCTCTTCTCTCTTGCACCCTTTCTCTCTTCTGTCTTTGTGCCGCCCACTCTTTGCCTTCCTCTTTCCCCCATTAATCTCTCTCAGTTATTATCCTTCCCTTTCCCTCTCCCTCTTCTCCCTGATAATCTCTTGTCTCCGTGATTTTCCTTCCACATCTAATCTCTTCTTCTTGCAAGATAAGGACAGAGAAGACGGGAAGAAGGACATAGAGTAACAAAGAGAAAACGAGATAGAAATACGAAAGTAGAAGAACGAAAATATGATAAGAAAAGAAAGGAATAATAATGATAAGGAAGGAAGGAAGGAAAGAAGGAAGGACAGACAGAGGAACATCTTAATTAAACTTTTATCGTCCCCGACCAAACCCGCTGTCGGTCGTTGCGGCGGCTCTCCCGCTGTCGCTGTCGGTGCCGGTCGGAGATTTGCAAAGAGGGGAAGAGAGGAGGGAGGGAGAAGGGGGAAAGGAAGGAGGGAGGGAGAAGGGGGAAAGGAAGGAAGAGAAAGGGGAAGGGAGAAAGTGTAAGGGTACAAAATCCCATGTGAATGTTGATCAGTTGGTATATATATCTGTCATGATATACATACGTATATACATACGCGTACGAGCACACACACACACACACACACACACACACACACACACACACACACACACACACACACACACACACACACACACACACACACACACACACACAACAAAAACAATTATAAACAAACACAATTACAAACACACCCTCAGCCAAACACAAATCCGCACAAACACATCGACACAAGCACACGAAACAAACAAAAAAAGTGAAAAGATCTCACAGGCAATTGTTCCACTGTGACAATGATCCTCATTTAGTAGATCGCAGTGCCCTCCCCTCTCACCCCCCCCCTCATTATCCTCCCTCCTACCCCCCCACCCCCAATATCCGACCCTCTTCAGATACTAAAACTTTACTTAATGAAAAACAATTAATTATTCCGGAAAACAGCATTGTTAGCGCCTCTGGGAGCGTTGGGGAGGGAGGGAGGGGGGAGGGGGATGATAGGCCTATGTTGATTCCTTAGAAGAGGCTTTCTGGGCGAGTCTTGAGGTGGTTATGTCTTCTATATGGGAGAGGGGGGGGGTGATTTTCCTCTTCCCCCCCGTCTCCTCTCTACTCTCCTTCCTTTCTCCCCTCTCTCTTCTTCTTTTCAAAATCACGTTTCTTCTTAACTCATTTGTCATTTTTCTTTGTACCAGGAGTGAGTTTTTTGTTTTGCCATCATTACTAATGTAGCGATCTTTAAGCGATTAGTACTGTGAAGATTAACAACACCCAATAATTATGGTAATTACTCTACCACAGGAGAGAGAGAGAGAGAGAGAGAGAGAGAGAGAGAGAGAGAGAGAGAGAGAGAGAGAGAGAGAGAGAGAGAGAGAGAGAGAGGGGGGGGGGGGGCAGAGAAAGAACAATGCAAACAACAATATCGTGATACCTTGGACGATGACGCTAACAACGAAAAACATACACAACAACAACGGCATTTAACACGACACCAATAACTCTAATGGGAACAACAGTGCCTGATGAAAACAACAGTAACAAAATAGACAAAGTCAGTGAGGGAATAATTGTTATCACGGTAAAAAAAAAAAAAAAAAAAAAAAAAAAAAAAAAGGAACTAAATTTTCGAAAATACCATCCCTGGCGAGAGAGTGTTGGCAGTGCGTTATTTTGTCCAGTTAATGAAACCCACACGCCATGTATTTGCTAGTTTTACTGTTGTCAAAAAAGTTCTTCTACGATAATTGTTCTGGTGTTTGTAAAACTCTGGAAATTGTATTTAAAATAGAATTTAGAGAGAGAAAAAAGGTTGGCTCAATTCATTTTTTATCATCATTTTTTTTCGGTCTCTGTCTCTGTCACTTTTGATATTTTGATGTTTGCGTCGGTATATAAATTGCGGGATATACCTGTGTGCTTTTCCACTTTTATATACACAGTAAAAAAAAAAAGGTAAAGAAATTTTTATATATATATTCTGGTAGGAAATTCAATCTGAGTTCATCATAGCGTGAGTATCATATGATTTCATGCAACGTTCCTCATCATGAATTGATAATTACATATGAAGTTTATTATTCTGGTTTAGTCCTTTTTATGCCGATGATTGTGGTTAGCAAGGCTTTTTCCTAGACGTAATCAGGGTGGGAAGTTTTTACTCGTGATATGTGGTTTTAATAATAGGATATTCGTGACGAATTTATTATGTGCGTGTGCTTATTACAATTATCTGTTTAACAGTTGTGTTTTTTTTCCCCTTCTTTTTGTGATTCGTTTTCTTTTTCTTTCTCCTTCTTCTTCTTCTTCTTCTGCTTAGTCTTCTTGGGTATGGTAAGTTATGTTAATGAACACATTATCTCAATAGACTATGTAATCTACATGTAATCTAATTCACAAATGTTTTCGTAAACCGGCGAAAGTATATCTCAAAATCTGATTGAATTTGTATGTAATGTTAATAAAAACTGCAAACTGATTTTATTTACCTAACCCAGAGTTAATGCCCCTAGTAGTAAGCACGCATATACATACATATATACACAATAGTTACTTAACACGCAAACATGCAAAGACACACACACACACACACACACACACACACACACACACACACACACACACACACACACACACACACACACACACACACACACACACACACACATACATATACACACGTTATCCCATATTTGTGTCATGGACATACTTGAGATTTCTTTTGTCCATGAGTTATTCAGTTAATATTTTTATCAATCTATTCCGTTAATATCCTTATTAAAGTGATATTAAAGGTACCTAAGAAAGAATGTAAATTGTTTTACTGGGAAGGAATGACGTGTTTGTCCGATTAGCTACATATTAAGTTCTTGTAGGTTTCGGAAACATGTACATACCTGTGACAATACTGGGTTTTATTAAGTTTATCACCATTATGATTAGAAAATTAATGTATACATATATGTATATATATATGTATATATACACGACAGTCATATGATGTATAAGACATAATCAACAACATTGCCACTTTAGTTTTGTTTTCAGAAATAAACAATAAATGATATAAAAAGCTAAACTACTTGTTTTTCTGTCTGTCTGTCTGTTACTGCCTGTCTTTCACCAAATGAGACACTTACTCATATTTCTAATTACAG